AATGTGATTTTTATTGTTAATGGTATAAAACACCTAGATGTAATACTTCTGCATCCTCGGTTTCAGACTTCACAGAGCTCACTGCAGAGGAAAAACCTCACATTTTAACATTGCTGTAAAAAGTATTATACATTACACTCGCAAAAGAACCTGAGACAGCAACTGTTGATTTGCTTACTCACTAAGAAGTATTGGGACATAGACAGCATGTTACAGTTACATTTTTCCTCAGACAACATATAGAACAACAGTTTTTCATGTTAATGAAGTTCCTGCTGTGCATGACGTTATTTGACCTTGTCAGAGACAGAATGGTTCATAAAGTTCATTCCTAGACTTCTAACATTTTGTGGAGCTTGCACAAGAAGGGTCGAACTTCATATTCACTTGGAAGGGTACTCAAGTCTCCTTAAGCAAATTGTGTGTGATCTTCTAGAACAAGTTCAGATTAGAATACTAGCACCTCAACCTATCAACATGTACTTTCTAACATTTTAAATAAATCACACAACTGAAGATGTGAGGCTAACATTCTCAGTCTCTTTAAGGAGTAGATTCTTCCCATCACCAAAACCAGAACATCATTAAGGTGCCTGTTCCAAAAATCACTAAAATTAAAACAGTATCATATACTTATCATGAATAAAGATGATTAAGTCAAACTTTAAGAGAGTTGATTAATTAAATTTAGCTAAATAAACAAACTGGTAAGAATATTAATACCTACTTTGGACACCTATCTATCCCAGTGGGGATTAATTTAACAGAATTGAAAATCTAGGACCCAAACTTGCAACTGAGATAGGGCACCAATGTCTGACTGTTATGTGTGGTAAAAGTTATTTAAATGCAACTTGTGTAAACATGCATCTAGATTAATTTTCTAAGAAATGAGAAAAACAAAAATGTTTCTGAAAATGAGAGAGTCACACAAAAACACTAAAAGCAAATAATTTTAAATTAAAATACTAGCTGAGGAGTAGGGAATGACTGGGAAGGTAGTCTTCATACAGAAAAAATAAAGACCACATTGCTAAGAACTAGATTTTTAATATTACGTTCATCTTGAGAGCAAACACAGAATTCTGCTAATTAAGATTTAATTTATCAGGAAACTCAGGACATAATTCGACTCAATGCCTTGTATGTAAAAGCCTTCCAATGCCAGAACATTTTACAGGCAAGATATCAAAGAAAAAAAAAAAGCAACAAAAAACCCAAAACAAAAAAATAAAAAGTACACCACCGTTAGCTTAAAGTGCATGACTTCGCATACCTCAATCCTAAACATTAAAGCTCTGATCTAAAGCTGGTTGTAGCCAATAGCAGATTTTCTATTGCCTTCACTACTTTTCAGGCAGGCTTATTTAACTGAAAACAATTGTCATTGCAAAAGTGGTGAGAGTAGTAGAAACATAAATTCATTTCATTTTCTCATATAAACAAACATGAATATTAGCTTCCACTGAACAACTGGCTTCCAGCGTGTTTCTGTTCTTCTCTGCTTTAATATAACAATGAAGCAAAAATAATCTTGGCAGACAGACAGAAACCAAACCTGAAATATGTAATATTCAGCATTACACAGCGTATTATGTGCCATCCAATCCTGACCAACATTTTTTCATGGTATGTCAGAGTATTTGAAGAAGGACTCAGTCTTTCCAGCCCTCCCTGTTTTAACATTTGCCAAAGTCATCACCAAAAGTATATGTTTGCCACAATCCAATTGTAGTGAAATGAATCCCTCTTTCTTGGTTAGGGACAATAAAGAAAATAAACAGAACAGATACCACCCCTTTGCAAAGGGACATCTGAGTCTCCAGAGGCAAAAACTTCTGTGAACTTTAATACTTAAAGATTATTCTGTTCTTGCCTTAAAGCACTTGCTCTTCCAGCAAACACACATAATTTAAAATTGCTACACCAAGTACACTAATACAGGCCAATGAAGCGGTATTTAATCTGGGTGTTACTGGGATGCAAAGAATAAGAACAAAGCTCTCAATTCATCACCAGCAACTAGCTGCATACTTAACTAGCACAACACGCAATTCAGTCTGAGAGATAATGACACAGGGGGTGAGGGATAACAGGGATGTGTTTTTTTGACAGAAAGAAAGAAAAGGCACAAAGCCATTTGGACATTTCCTTGGCTTTTTATTATTACTCCTGACTATACAGTTACCACAGGTTTGGGGTTTTTCCATTCCACATCACTTGTAAATAACACATTTCAGCATGTAGCTCTTTACAAAGATAGCAGCAAGATCAAGGATGCTCCCCCCCACCCTAGTCCTCTGGAATTTGTTGAACAAGCAAGCGTAAACCTTTGATTTCTTCAAAACTATGCAAGTTACAGGCAGACTAATAGCATTCTGCTATATTTAATTTAAACACAAACCTTAACATCCTCAGAACTTTACTTAACAAAATCACTGGACCAAATAAATTCTTTCAGGTCCCATGTTTTCCCAAAGATCAGAAGAAAACATAACGTGTACAATTCTGTCTCACTGTGACGTCTTAAAGATGCCAAGTCACAATGCTGTTCTCTACGAAAAAGGAATAGCTTGATCAAAACAGACCACATCACAGACCACAACTCTACACAAATAGAAATGCATGTGGTAAACTTCCTCACAGAAAACTATTCCACAAAATTGAAGCTCATAACCCAGGCATCACATAGCAAGAAAATACATGTTCCACTCCTGTTCATTTTTGCTTGACTTACTAAAAGCCTCTACTACTTAGCCTCCTTTTTAAAGGTATCCTGTCTGAAAATGCATTTTTTTGACTGCCATCAGACTGTGAGGTCAGGCTTTAATGTGCCTTCATCCAATAGTCTTCAAATTAATTATTTTTAATATCTGACTACGCACTACTACGCACAAGCTTGGCCAGTTGCCGTAACTGCCTCCCACATTCTCTGGAATAACCATCCACTTGGACTGTTCAACTTTTTACTTTTTGCATTCCTGGTCTCTATTTTCAACTTAAGACTGCTCTCAGCATGATTTAAATTATATTATAAAGCTCACATTCAGATCAACTTCAGTAAATACAAACAACTTGGGTTCAAACATTCAGGAAGTCATAAAATTTTGTATGGAGGAATCTTTTCAAGGCTTTCAAAACTAGGTTACAGTAAGATATTATGAAACAGTTTTAGCACAGCTCATAAAAAAATCTCATTTTCTGATTTGCTGTTGATGGGGTCCTATTATTAATGTCATCAGTAAATACATGTATTTGCGTTTCATTTTCTGTCTTATGGAATCAGATAAATCTCATTTAATCATCAGCAATGAGGCATCTGGAAAATCATACAGCTTTCCAACAAACTTAAAGACCTTCTCATTGCTATAAACCACCCACCATCCCTTCTGAAAACCTGTTCTAGCTCAAGTATTTTATTGATCTAAAATAACCTGTAAAAACATCATGAAAAGGCAAGTGAGCCAGGGCACATTAACATGTAGTGTATTCAGCAAATATTCGTAATAAAAGCACATTGTATTGTTTTGGGTTTAGCCGAGAACAAAGATAAAACCAATTGCTCTCAGTACATAAGCAAAGGAGAGAGGGGAATGAATTGTCCTCACCTTCTCTCCGGGAAAGGATATTTTGGACACATCCCTAGATTAAAAAAAAAAAAGGGGGAGGAAAAAAGGGGGGGGGGGGGGGGGAGGGGGGGCAGAAATGGGGAAGGGGAGAAATAAAGGCACAGGGATTCACAGGCTTGAATTAACACTCATCTAGGAATATTTTGCCACTCACTGTATTTATATTGAGTTTGGGTTTAATAAAATGGGCTTTTAGCATTCTTTCACTCATTGTTCCAGTGTGTAGAATCTATTTACAGCTCAGCTAAGACCATATCAATAAGATGCTCTCTTTATAAGCCGCTCAGCGATGTTAATGGTAGAGGTTTTTTTTTAAACAAACATTTATTTTGGAATAAATGCACAGATAGCACTTTAAACCAGATGTCAAACATAAGCCTTTTTTGTACAGTGACACACAACATAAAAATAACAGTTGTCCTTCCACCTCTAACCACAAAAAGGTGAAAAAGTAGGAAATGAGTCCCCTTCTCAGTGTAAAACAGAACTGAATATGCATTCAATAGAAACTACTTGGCTGGGGGGCCGGGGCGGGGGGCGGGGGAAGGAAAGGAATTCTGCTCAAAGAACAGAAAAGAAAGATTACGAAGAGAGAACAGAAGCACTGAAAAGCAGGTATTTATAACACATTGAAAATGTTGTTCTTGCCAAGTATTTTTCAGTTAGTGTAATCTCCTCAACTGGTAAATTCAGACCTATTTTTGCTACAGGCAAACACAGCTATGACAGGAACTAGGATGGGTTAAGGACCTAATTACAAGATCTACTGTATAAACTACTGTTGCTGCCTAATACATATAAAAAAGTTTAGAAGAGCCCTGAAACACATTATACCTTCATCTGGCGGCAGCACCAGATTTTTATTTTGCTAAAGATCTCACAATTACACATTGCATTACACAGTTGCTAAAATTTAAAAGCTTCACTTACCATACAATTGCCAAACCCTAGCACAAGTGTCACAGCAGGAAATGTTTTGTATTACAGCTGGAGGAAGCTATGAGCTGACACCTGTTGATCAGCATAAATCAGTATCTCAGTAACTTACAATCATCTTCCCATATTCAAATTACTTTTAATTTTCACATTTTTCAGTAATTTTTCTGAAATTTTTTCTGAAAATCACATTTTCATGTTTTGCTTGACTTGATATGCTTCACACTTCATTGATTAGAAATTATCATTTGCTATTTCTTTATCATTTTAAAGAAATCAATCCTCATATGCCCAAAAAGCATATTTTAAAAGCATCAGTAAGTACAAAATCTCACTACAGTATCTTTAAGCTGGGGGAGATGATTTATTACAGTAAAAACTTAATTCTGAGAACACTTTTTGCTAGGTATGATGATGTCATTCTAGACTACTCACTTCCCACATCAGCCTGCAGTCTGTGTTCTCATCCAGTTCCTGTGGCATTCGCTTCTCCCCTGCAAAGGGGCCAAATTTTTCACCCTAAGGAATAATTACAAAAGAAAAAGGATCAGTGAGAAAAAAAAAAAAAAGGCAAGTGAATTACCAAACTCCAGCAGAGGTATCATTTTTAGCTTCAAATGGAAAAGAATAATTTTCCCTTGTCATCCTACTGTATGCCCAGAAGGTACATATCTCTGAGGGTTCAACTTCAAGCTCATTGCCATTCTTTTCACAGTTTGGATAATCTCTTAAAACCATACCTTTCCTCTGCATACTTATTTCCTCTTTTGGAAACACCATTTTTCTTTATTTTAAATAAGGCTGAAATTTCCAAGTCAAATTTCTTACATTTCTTATAAGATTTTCAGGAAGCACCTTGCAATAGACATCCAACTAAAATGTAAAGTATTTGGCAAGCACAAAGTTTACATTAGATTTATTTCCAAGATTATTTGCTACATTACTTTTTGAAGTGCTACAAATCAAAACAGTGAACAACTGAGGTTTTGATCATAGAGAGAGGTTTGTTTAAAAATGTAGGGAGTATGCACATGCCTATGAATTCAATCAAGCTATCATAAACAAAATTAAAACATTATACCACCTGTTAGTCATAACACATACTGTGAAAGTATCCATTGATATGTTCTTCTAAAAGGTTTGGGTATTGCTGTTTTTTTCCTTCACAGACGTCACACTAGCAGCAAGGTAAATTATTTAAATAGAACTTTTTTCTTAAACAGGCCTGACTTCCCTCACCCTCCTTGTGCTTCTTTTCAGCGACAAGCCCTACAAACCGGAATGCAGACTGGAATGTTCCTTTAGGCAGTATTCAGATCGAAAAACTCCATATACTTCTAAGCATTAGAGATTATAACTATATAATGAAGGGCAACTTTGGTGATTCTTCAAAAATAACAGTCTTTTGGCTAGTAAAAGTATCAATTTTTTTCATATGTCCCTTCCCCCAGGCACATTCCATGATCGCAGAAACAGCCTGCTATATGTTTTCCTACTTGTCTTAGTTTTTACAGACTGTCTATGGGTAGAGTGCAGAGGAAGAAGTGGAATGGAAAACTTCTGAGAGGAATGATCCTGGAAACAACCAACCAAATAAAAAAATCCTGATATTTAAAATTAAACCTGAAGAGGTAATAAACAAAGGAAAATAAAATTGGCATTGCATAACAAGGCAACAGAATTGAGGAGCAATATTTTAAAATGTGCGCAATGAAGATTTCATTAGAAAGAACAGCAAAGCAGAAAGTAAAAACACAAGAACAGCAGAAAACAACTGGAGCCCAGAGCAGTAATCAAGAGACAAACATGGGCAGCGAAAGCAAAAGCTAGTGCTACAGGGCTTCATCTCTTTCACTTCTCACTGATCTCCATACCGCTCTTCATTGATTTGCTAATCAAATGATGTCAGGGTTCCTCCCCTGCCAGCTTTATATATCCTGGGATTTAATAAACTGAAATTTCCCCCTTCTTTTACCTTCATCAGCAATAAAGGTAAAAATGGGTCAATACAGTTATATGTGTGCAGCCACCAATGTTCTCAGCTTACACTGAGTGCCACCCAGCAAACATACTGCTGTCTAAGAGGGGCCATGCAGGTCTTACATGGGAGGCAATTTGCTTAGATTGCATTGTTTGCTTACATTAAGGAGGACGACAAATCAAGATGGTGGCAGAGGAAATCTGCTCTGGAAACATATGGTCCTATCTATCTCAGTAAAGATAAGCTAGACCCTTTCTGGAGCAAACACCTCCTGCCAGGCTGAACTGGCTTTTCCCATTCACTTAGAAAGCAATGAGTAGTTTTGGTGCAACAAGGAAAGCAGCTCACTACAGTTGCTGAGCTGTAAGAGGGGGCATAATTGTATCTGCAGAATCTCTTACTACCCATAGTAATTATCAGTAAGAAAGGCAGTTTATTGGACTATAATCTAGATTAGTTCTATAAAAAGAAAAAGACCTCCACAAATTTAAAATGGAAATTATTTGAAGACATGATGAATAAGGAACCTGGAAAGGCTAGTTTCCCATATTCGCTTCAGTCGAAGAATAACAGTTTTGAAGAAAGCATAAAGAGATTAATTTATTCCTTAACTATGTTGGAGGCTTCCACAACCCTCACCCGAGTAATACTTTCATCCCTGCAGTCCAAAGGATCCCTAGATACCTTATAAAGCACCTACAGTGTTCATTTTACCAATCACTGAAGCACACATCACCTCCGGGATTGAAGCACAGCCGACAGCTTAATACTGCATACTGACTCAAAACAAGAAACACCACACATCATTCCTACCTCAGCTACTCCAAACCAATAATCCTCTACTGCAATTATGTTTAAGACCTTCTAAAAGCTCAAAACAATAGCAAAAACAAAAGGCAAGATGTCCACCTCTAAACGTAAAGTAAATGTAACATGAACAGCAGGTGATTCAGCCTTCTAAGTACTTTTCATAGCTTCTCAAATTTAGAGAGAAAGCAGAAATTAGAGACAGCAAAACCTGGTGTCTTGGAACACAAAAGTCCATGAGGGTAAGTGTAATTATTCATTTAGCCTTCCAGAGCATTTTTTTTTCATATATATATATATTTATTAGTCCTAGTTAATAAACATGCCAATACATATTGATCAAAAACATACTAAGACTTCAGCTTCCTTTCTGATCAATAAAAGTGAGGCATATAACACAGCCTAACATCAACCACTGAAATTATTCAAGATATGAAAGGCACATCATTCAAATGTTAAAAAAAGCTACTTCCAACAGTTGATTTCAAGAAAGCAGAAGTCACTAATCTTCTTCCAGTTGCAGCAAAACACTGAGAAATGTAGTGGCTCTCTGATGATTATACCAAGGGCCTTATGATACTGGTGCTGTAACCAAAGTTGGAGAAAAGAAATTACAAGAGAATCACAGCTTTTGTTAAGGTAACAACAACAAAAAGGTTTTCACCTTTTATGATTACAGATAAAAGCCTGAAAGCACAGCGTAATGCCTCAAGGCACAAAAGTAGATGGCAGACAACAGCAGTTGTATTATCACCAAAACTTTGCTAATAGTAGAATTTTCAGAGGCCTACTTCATGATTACTTAGCACTTGGAGAATTGGTACTGCACTTTCTGATTACAAGATCATCTGAAACGTGTTTTACCTTCAGTTGAGACAACTGCAGTTGTGTGATAGCAATAGAGAGAAAACGGTGCAGTATTTGCTATTCAGGAACATCAGATCCTACTTCACAATTAAGTGTCATATTCAACACCTTCTCCCAATCCCAAAGCTCCAAGGAATTAATTTAACAGCTATTAGCTACTCTGTATCATACCCATGAAGTGTAGTACTGCTGCCTCATTACTGGACAGGAGAACATGTTGAGAGTGTTTCAAATGCAATTTTTCTTTCCACGGAAAAGAGTAACACACACCCGGGCTACATCCAGCACATCACCTGTGTTATTTACACCTCCACCCTTCTCTGAACACCTGTGGCAACACACAGTGCTTAGGTTTCCAACCATTTTTAGGAATACCTGTTTCAACCACTGCCTACAGAGCAACTGGAGAGCTGGTTCCTCAGCTTTCAAAGTCTGCCTGTCAGACACATGCTTCTGATCAGGGCTTTGCATACCACAACTGTCTGTGCTACCAACACAGAGGATTCACTGCCAAACAAAGGATAAGGCTGTAACAAACACTGTGACCAGACACTCCTAATACAAACAGATCTTACTACAACTGCCTCTGCCTTCACCTTCTGCATTCCACATGCAGTACGTCACACTTGAAACGTTTCAGTTTTGCTAGGATGTCCCTGTGTGACAGGCTCACATGCAGAGCTGTGCAGGCAGAGCTCCGACAGCATATACTTCACCTGTATAAAGAGAGTTCAAAAGCAACATGGAGTAATTCAGGCAAGAAAATGCTCTATTTTTCCTAGCATGCAGCTCTAATGGTTCAATCGACAATAGTGTAAAGAAAGGGGGCTCAGACCCTGAAGTCTGAACTGACATTCAGAATTCATACTGACATGCGGATGATAATTTCCATGACCTTCACTCTAGAGCTCACTCCATTTCGGTGTCCAGGGATTATTATATGCTAGTAGTGTACAACCTTCCTTGCTGCATGAACTCCCAAAGATTTCAAATGAAAGTTCAGAACCTCAGTGGAAAAAAATTAAGCCAAGTGATATAAAATTGTTCCCTTTCCACCCCCCAGTAACACTCAGGGAAACCCCTAGCCCATGGTGTCTAAGCCTTATTGATGAAACCACTGAAAAATTAGGCAGCCCTCTCAACCCACTCAGAGCCAAAACCAGGACAAAGATGGAAAGCAAAACATACAAAATACACATAAGCGTATACTAATGCAGGGTTAAATAACTTTAGGTATGCTTTTATCTATTCAAACAAGCCACCTGTGTAGTTATAATTGGGATTTTAGATAATCAAGAGACTTTCAATTCAATTACGAGGTGTGAAGGGACATGACCTGCTTGGGGGTACGAGAGACCTGCAGCTCAGCTGAATCACATCTTTCACAAGCCCGACTTTATCATCCCGAAACGATGAAGTAAACCATCTATCGCACCGAGCGCTAAGAGCAGGGAGGCGACAGAAGCCTGGCACCGGCGGGCGGGCACCTCCGCCGCTGAGGCGCACCGCCGTCTGAAGGCGGTTATTATCAAGGAGGCAGCCCTGCCCGGAGGAGCTCTGCCCTCAGAACAGTGCCAGAAACACAAACAAAGTTAAAACAAAAACCCAAAGAGAAAACCCTCCGC